TGAAGCCCTGTCGGGGCTCTCCTGGAACCGTCTTGGGCGGCTCCTGGGCCATCTTGGGGCTCTCCTGGGCCGTCTTGGGACGATTTTGGGGGTCTCTTGGGCCGTCTTGGGGCGGTCTTGGGGGGCCTCTTCGGCCGTCTTGGAGCGGTTTTGGGAGACTCTTGGACGGTCTTGGAGCGTCGGAACCCTGAGAAAGCGTCGAAAAAAAAAACAATAAAAATTAACGATTTTGGCTTGTCGCGGCTCTCTTGGGAGGCCTCTTGGGATGCCTTCGGGGCCTCATGGAGCTCTCTTGGAATGTCTTCGGGGCTTCCTGGCCATTCCTGAGGCTATCTATACGCGTCTTGGAGCGCTCGCGGGCCGTTTTCGGCGGTCTCGATCTGTTCCTGACGGTCCCAGGGGCCCTCCGGGACGCTTCGGACGCTCCCGGGGGCGCCCTGCACCCCCCATGGAGATTACAGGCACCGCCCCGGGCCGCCCCCGGGCCCGACTCCGATATATGTATATGTATATGTGTGTGTATGTATGTATATATATATATATATGTATATATATATATATATATATATATGGAAACATACGTAAGACATGTAGGATTGTGTACACAGGAGAAGGACAAGCTATAGAAACATACGTACGTCGTCCAAGGCGCCTCGGAAGGCGCCTCGGAAGGCGCAGAATACTCCTCCAAGGCGCGGAATCATGTTCCCGGACCGCCTTCCGGGAACATGATGGGGACGACCTCCTGAGGGCCTCCAGTGGGCCTCTTGGGGGCCTCTCGGAGGCCTGTGGGGCTCTCCTGGAAACGTCTTGGGGCGCGCTCAGGGCCATTTTTGGGCATCTTGGGGGCCTCTCGGGGGCCTCCAGGGAGGCTCTTGGGGGCCTCTTTGGGGCCTCTTGGGGCCTCGCGGGGCCCTCTTGGGGCCCGCTGGGCTCGCTTAGGCAGTTTGAAGCCCTGTCGGGGCTCTCCTGGAACCGTTTTGGGCGGCTCCTGGGCCATCTTGGGGCTCTCCTGGGCCGTCTTGGGACGATTTTGGGGGTCTTTTGGGCCGTCTTGGGGCGGTCTTGGGGGCCTCTTCGGCCGTCTTGGAGCGGTTTTGGGAGACTCTTGGACGGCCTATATATACACACATATACGTATATGTACATTATATATATACATATATATATATATATACGGAAGAAATTGAAATACGTGGAAGGAAGTGGCACGACTCGGGAGGGCTTGGGGGAGGGGTGTATATATATACATATACATATACACATATATATATATGTATACATATAATAGAGAGAGAGATAGAGAAACATACGTAAGACATGTAGGACTGTGTACACAGGAGAAGGACAATCTATAGAAACATACGTACGTCGTCCAAGGCGCCTCGGAAGGCGCCTCGGAAAGCGCAGAATACTCCTCCAAGGCGCGGAATCATGTTCCCGGACCGGACCGCCTTCCGGGAACATGATGGGGACGACCTCCTGAGGGCCTCCAGTGGGCCTCTTGGGGCCTCTCGGAGGCCTGTTGGGCTCTCCTGGAGGCGTCTTGGGGCGCGTGTATATATATATATATACATATATATATATATATATATGTCTCTCTATATATATAGAAGAAATTGAAATACGTGGAAGGAAGTGGCACGACTCGGGAGGGCTTGGGGGAGGGGTATGTATATATATATATATACACATACTATATATATATATATATATATATATGCATATATATACACATATATATATACTATATAGTATAGAACATACGTAAGACATGTAGGATTGTGTACACAGGAGATGGACAATCTATAGAAACATACGTACGTCGTCCAGGGCGCCTCGGAAGGCGCCTCGGAAAGCGCAGAATACTCCTCCAAGGCGCGGAATCATGTTCCCGGACCGCCTTCCGGGAACATGACGGGGACGACCTCCTGAGGGCCTCCAGTGGGCCTCTTGGGGGCCTCTCGGAGGCCTGTTGGGCTCTCCTGAAGGCGTCTTGGGGCGCGCTCAGGGCCATTTTTGGGCATCTTGGGGGCCTCAGGGGGCCTCCGGGGAGACACTTGGGGGCCTCTTTGGGGCCTCTTGGGGGCTCGCGGGGCCCTCTTGGGGACCGCTGGGCTCGCTTAGGCAGTCTTGAAGCCCTGTCGGGGCTCTCCTGGAACCGTTTTGGGCGGTTCCTGGGCCATCTTGGGGCTCTCCTGGGCCGTCTTGGGACGATTTTGGGGGTCTCTTGGGCCTTCTATTTTTCTCCAGCACAAGCTTGAGAGGGCGCTGGGGCGAGGCATCGGCAACAGTGACAACAGAACGCAGCAACATCGAACAAGTAAAAAACTCGGGGCCTGTTAAATTATGAATTCGTGTGGGATTGAAAGGCGGAAGAGCAGAGAAGGGAGGGAGGGTCGGGCGGCTCGCGCGGCTGATTAGAGCCAACGGTTGTGGATCACCAAATTGACAGGCCAACCCGATAAACTATCTCCAAGGCCTTCTATTCTTCTCCAGCACAAGCTTGAGAGGGCGCTGGGGCGAGGCATCGGCAACAGTGACAACAGAACGCAGCAGCATCGAACAAGTAAAACTCTGGGCCATATTCACGTCCAGATTCATTAGTGTACTGGTAATACCGCCTAGCATTTACAAATGTCCCACAACCGAGAGAGCCTACGATTATTTGACGCATCTACAAGAGACTTGGCCAGAATATTGCACAGCTCCTTGGGGTAAGGCTGTGCTACTGCTGTCCAGAACTGGCCACCGGGGGCCTTGCCCTCAAGCACTTGGCGAGGCCTCTGGGACCTCTCACAAGTGCCTTTACCGTGGCACTTTCGCCCAAGAAGCTCCGGAGAAACGTGCCAGAGGCGAAGCCTGGTTCGTTTACGCCACGGCTCCCCCCACATACAAAAATCCGTGAAAACATCATGAACATTGGGGAGCCTACAGAGACCTAGCACAGGCGGACACAGCCAAAGACGAGAAAAGGCGGGATTCTCGAGCCCTCCAGGGATCCCTCTGGTGTGAGCTAACTTAGCAAGCACAACAGAGACATGCATCAAACGGTCACCCAACTGCACTCGCATTTGATCGGGACCTGAGAGGCCTGACAGCCCAAGAGGAAACTCTTTGGACCTCAAAGGTCCTGGCCCAGACTTGGTATACCTACGGGCCAAAGAGAAAGAAGTGCACGGGGTTCCTAACCACAAGATGCTCACCTCTCCACTGAGAATCCATCCTTTCAAAACTTCGACACTGGACGCCTTGGTGAGATCAAATTGCGCTCCTCGAGTGATGTCCCACTCGACGTGGGGATTCCTCTGGCACGAAGCGCCGAGGCGAGGCGGCCTGACCCAGCGAAGACCTCGACGGCGACCCTGTCTCGCCCCAGGCGCACTCTGTGGAGCGTCGCGTTGAGCAGCTGGCGAACAGCTGCGGCAGCCTCTGCATGCTGAGTCGCAGCCGCTCCTGCACCACGGGCGGCACCTTCGCCACTTGCAGCGCCTGGCGGCCGTGCTTCTCGTACCTCCGCACGGACAGGCGAGCTCGCCACCTGCCTCGCTTGGCCACCTCCTCGAGTGACCTCCTTCCCACGATCCGATCGTGGCTTGCTCCTCCGTGCCGAAGGCAGTACAGCGTGGCACCGAGGCTTTGAAGTCCCAGCGCCGCCAGCGCGTTCTCGAGCTCCTCGCGCAGCTGCGCGTAGCCGAAACTCCACAGCGGCTCGCGGGGCTCCAGCCGCGCCTTCAGATCCCTGAGCGCGGGGGTAAGCCATTGGAGCTCGGGCGCGTCGAGCGGCAGGGAGTCGCCCAGCTCGCCTGTCTGGCTGGGCACCAGCAGCTCCTCGGGATGAAGCAGCAGCGTCCACCAGCGAAATCCGCCCTGCAGCCCGGTCGCAGGCGGCACCAGCTGAAAAGCCTTCATCGCCAGGAGCTCTCCGGGCCGAAGGTAGCAGTGGAACATGAGGCAGAGAGCGCACGCCATCGCCACCTCCTGCTTCAGCAGCAGGAGCTCCAGCACGCCGCAGAGCACCAGCCACGGGAGCGGGGGGCGAGAGTGGCCGGGCCGCTTGCGCTTCCAGCCCAGCAGCGCCCGGCTGCTCCTCGGCAGCACCACCCGCAGGGGCCGCCCCAGCGCCGGTCGCGCCCAGAGCACCGCCGACAGCAGCTTCGCAGCCCTGTTCGGCCGCACTCCCTGCGCGAACTCGTCGTTCAGGTACTGCAGCAGGGCGTCGTCCCACTCCAGCGCGCTCCAGCTGGGCAGCGTCTCCACTCCGAGCCAGTTGCAGAGGCCACTGAGGCACTTCAGGTAGTTCTGCTGGGTAGAGGGCCTCACCGCCTCCAGCTCCAGTCCTGACGCGCTCGAGGCCAGGAGGCGGTGCCGCGGCAAGGCAGTCGACCTCTGGGTCGCGGCAGCGGGCTGGGGGCGTCTGGCACTGGCCCTCGCCTGACCCGAGCGCGCGCGGCCCGACGAGCCCAGGAGGCGCTTCCGCCCATGGCCGATCGCCGGCGCACTCGGAGCAGGCAGCGGCTGCGCACTCGGTGCGGCCGCCACGAGCCGACGGCGCTCCATCGCCCCGCAAACGGCGAGGCTCGAACCGCCTTGAAGGACCGTCGGCGGGGTTCCACTCTGAAGGGATCCATCGCACTGACACACGACAAGACGATGCGAGCTGAAGAGCTGTGAAGTGTCTCAACTGAGCGAGGATGGGGAAATCCGAGGCTCTTCCTTTTGCAACTGCACAGCAAATACACATGCTGTCTGACAAAAATAGAAGCCTGCACCCATGATGCGCCACTCGCCGCACCTGCCGCCGCATGGCCCACAGCAACGCCTCGCCCTCCAGAAGGTGGATGGGGGCACGATGGCGCCACCGTCTCGAGGCTGCGGTCTTCCACGAGGTGGCCTTGCAGAAGTCCGACGGCACGTTGGGGAACGGGGAGTCGCCGACGGCCCCTTCACGCAGGGCGCGTGCACGCGAGCCTTCGGCCACCAGCTCACGCTCCTTGAACCTCCAGCGTTCTCTAACTCGGCCCGCCCGACGTCGCGTGGGTCCGCGGAGCGCTCCACCGCGCCCAAGCCAGTCATCGAGGCGTCCACGGCCATCACGCTGGGGGCCCATGCGCCGCGCAGATCCGCCCACACCAGCGGCAGCAGCGCTCGCACCCAGGTCAGCTCTCGGCGCGCCGAAGGCCAGAGCCGCACGCGCCGAGAGTAGCACTTGCCGACAAAGACGTAGGACGCACTGAGCAAGCTGAGCACCTCGCGTCGTAGCAGCAGCACGTACGTCAAATGCCCGATCAGCCGCTCCAGCTCGGCTCCCGTCAGGAGGGGGTGCTTCAGGATGTAGTCCAGACTCAGGACCAGCCTCCAGAACCGCTTGGGCGCGATGTGAATCGCCCCCTTCACCCCGTCGACGTGGAACCCAAGCAGGTCCACGTCAACTTGCGGCCCCGAGAAGTCGTGAGTAGTCAGACCACGGCCCCTCAGCTGTCTCTCCATCGAGTCACCGTCGAGCTGGACTGTCTCCTTTACGGTCCCCAGCGAGGCGAAGTTGTCGATGTACAGGAGAGCAGCGGGCTCTCGACCGGCGACAGCCGGCGCGCAGCGGCGAGTGCAGATCCAGCGGCGGGCCCCTTGCGGATCAGCTCGCAGCAGCTCCCCGTTCGCCGCCTGCGCCAGCGCCACGGCCCAGCTCCAGCCCATCGGCACCACGCGCACCTGAAAGTGAACGAAGTCGTGCCCGGGCGGAAACAGGCGGCGCAGACTCCGCGGCAGCAGCTTCCGAGGCACCGCAGGCAACACGAAGTCGGCCCTCAGGTCGTCAGGCAGCAGGAACTGGTAGTAGCAGTTCTCGGCATCGCCCTCACTGACCCACAACCGCTGGCCTGCAGGCAACTCCAGATCACCCAGGGCCTCAGGAGACGCCAGAGCAACACTATCTGGAGGTACAAACTGCGAGTTCGTCTTCCGAGGGTCGAAGATGATCCGCAACGAGCCGTCCTTCTTACGCACAAAGAAGACTCCCACAAAACTGCGAACCTCAGTCGCCGGCTCGACGACACCCGATTCGAATGCAGACATCAAAAACTCGGCGTACTTGCTGGGCGACCTAGCCAGGATGGGATCCATCGCAGGGCCCAACTCGTCCACCTCTGCCGCCACGTCCTTTGTACACACTGCTGGTAGCCGAATAGCGCGGCCACTATCCTCCAGCAACTTCTGGTAGTGGTCGGGCAGGCAACTGACGAGGTCGATCGCCTGGTTACCGACCGCTGGCAGGGCAAGCCTGCCGCGCTGGTAGGTCGCGAACTCTCCGGCGACAACACCTGCGACGGCGTAGCCGGAACCGCAGCCCCGAAGCGCAGACCACGCTCCCGAGGCGGTGAGGTCGTCGGGCGGCGGCGGCACGGCAAAGTAGGCCCGGGCCAAGCTGGCCAAAGCCTGGCGCTGGATCGCACCAGGCAGCACTTTGGGGCCCCACTCCTCGCCGCGGCCGCCCAGCACGTTGAGCGTCGAGATGCCGTCCTGCAGCCGCGCCTCTGCAGCCCGTCGGCGCGAGCGCCGCCGATCCGCACAGCGCGACACACCCAGGCCAGCTGGCGAGAGTCCCTCCAGGAGATCAGCCAGACAGCGCCCAGATGGCAGAGGCAGCAAGTCCCGAGCCCAGTCTAGGCCTTCACCTGCAACACCGAGGCGGCCCGCCATCCTCCTCACGCGGGCAGCCCTCCCCTCTGCAGAATGGGCGGCGGCCGGGGGCCTCCGCCGCCCGTGGCAGCTCAAGCGGCGTCACCCCCCGGCCCGCCACCATTTTTCTTCGGGCGCCTGGGGGGCTTCTCGTCGTTCTTGCCGCTTCCAGCACCTGGGGCAGCATCGGTCGAGCGGGCCAGCTGCCGCTCCTCCTTCGCTTTGCGGCGCTCCTTGAGCACCGCGCTCTCCTCGGACAGCTTCTGGGAAATCCAGGACTCTAGCGCAGGCGCCACGAGAGCACGGCCATGGCGGCCCTCCTCGCCCATGAACAGCCTGTCGTTGTCGAGGTGGCCGCTGTCGCCGCCCGCCGCTGCCGCGATGAGCGCGCGGGCGCGCCTCTCCTCGAGCAGCTGGTAGCGCCTGCCCGCCAGCTCCAGCGACGCAAGCTCCCCGAAGTTTAGCTGGTCGTAAGTCAGAGCGTACTCGAAGAGCCGACTCAAAGACTCGTGCTCCCCGACGCCCCAGCAGTCACTGGGGCCCAAGCCTAGCAGCTGTCTCCACCAGAAGTGGCGGCGCACGGGAGTGAGCTCCTGTCGAGCGATCTTACGTGCCAGCCACTCCGCCGTCCTAGGGCCGCTGATCGGCCAGTCCTCGAAGGCCGTCGTGGTGGTCAGCGACGCCGCCTCCTTGTAGGAGCGGTGCCTCTGGCTGGCCGTCTCGCACTTCACGGGGAGGGTGCGCAGCTCGTTGGACGCAGGCTCAGCCGCTCCTCCCTCCCTAGGCGTAGGCATCTGCTGGCCCGGCCTGAAGAAAGCGCAGGACACGAAGACGTCGCCCACGAGGGCCACTCCACGATCCCCTCGCTGGCAGCCTGCCTCCAGCTCCGCGTCGCCGACACGCTCGCCCAGCCTAGCGCCTCCGCGGTTCTCCGAGTGCCGCCATCCTCCCTCGCCCGCGCTCGGCACGCCCTCCAGAGCCAGCGGCGGGGGCGCGCCAGTGGGCGGCGGCGGCGGCGGAGAAGCGGCCAGGCCCAGGTCGCGCCTCTCCTGCAAGGCCAGCTCCGCGCCCTCCGCTTGGAGCCGCAGGCTCTCCTCACGGTGCAGCGGACCCTGGGACGAGTTCCTGAACAGGTGCGGGGGCCCACGGCTCCAGCCGATTGGCAGGCCTCCCATCGGACCCAGCAGCACCAGGCTCTCGACGCCCTCCTGGAGGTCCTCGAGGTACATGTCTCTCTCGGGGGTGGTCACCACCCAGGAACCCTCGTGCACGTGCGCGCACAGAAGGCGCTCATGCCACAACAGCTCACGCGGGTCCTCGTCGTAGGAGACGAGCACTCGCTGGCCCTGACGAAGCTGATCTAACATCGCCTCCGTCGGTCAGGCAAGGAGTCCCTGAGCCCTCAGGCGTGGCACGACCCTCCGAGCGCCTCAGGCACCACCAGCCACAGGAGGCAGCAGCGGCGAACCCTGCCAGGAAAGCCAGCACCGCCACCAAGAAGACCACCAGCCCCGGAAAGCCCGAGCACTCGGGCGGCGGGCACGGCGCCGGCAACGTGAGGTTCGCGGGCCCGCACCTCTGCAGCTGCCCCTCGAGCAGACGCAGCAGCTCACGGTCCACAGCGAACCCGTCTCCCAGCTCCACCTGGCAAGTACAGCGCTGGCCGTACCACAGGCTGCCCAGTTGTGCCAAGCCACCGGCGCCAGCAGCGGCGGTCCTCGCCCACTCCATGGAAGGGCGAACCACCGGCTCGCGCGGCTGATTAGAGCCAACGGTTGCGGATCACCAAATTGACAGGCCAACCCGATAAACTATCTCCAAGGCCGTCTTGGGGCGGTTTTGGGGGCCTCTTCGGACGTTTTGGAGCGGTTTTGGGAGACTCTTGGACGGTCTTGGAGCGTCGGAACCCTGAAAAAGCGAGAAGGCCCAAACCCCCGAACAAAAACAATACAAATCAACGATTTCGGCTTGTCGGGACTCTCTTGGGAGGCCTCTTGGGATGCCTTCGGGGCCTCATGGAGCTCTCTTGGAACGTCTTCGGGCCTTCCTGGCCATTCCTGAGGCTATCTATGCGCGTCTTAGAGCGCTCGCGGGCCGTTTTCGGCGGTCTCGATCTGTTCCTGGCGGTCCCAGGGGCCCTCTGGGACGCTTCGGACGCTCCCGGGGGCGCCCTGCACCCCCCATGGAGATTACAGGCACCGCCCCGGGGCCCTACTCCGATATATATATATATATATATATATATATATATAAAGAAAGGTACCCGATGAAACATATGAAGAAATGCTTGGTTCTGCTATAACAAACACCGCCCTCTTGCTTTGCTATGCGAGGAGTAGAACGGAATAATCCAACCAACCGACCGCCTAACCAACCAACCGATCAACTAGTCCGCTGGGCAACCGAGAAAACCGGCCAACCAACCAAACCATGACGTGCCATGAACGTGTCGCGCCGACATCCACCCGACCAACCGACCGATCACCCGATTAAATAATCAATCAATTGATCGACCAACTCACCATTTAACCGCAACCAACCGCCGCCCAACAAACGTACCAACCGACCAACCAACAAACCAAACAACCAACCGACCAACCGACCAACAAACCAACCAACCGACCAACCAGGCAACCAACCGGCCAACCGACCACTCAACGAACCAACGAACTAACCGACCAACTGGGCAACCAGGCAACTGGCCACAAGGACATCTTACCAACCGACTGTGCTTCCGTCTCGCTGCGTTGCCACTTGGTGAGTCGAGTAGCAGTGTATCCTTTCCCCCCTATTGCGTAAGTATAATGCTTTTTCGGCCCTGAGGAGTTGCAACGCGGCGACAAACAAAAATCCGCCCCGCTGCGTTCCCATGTGGCGAAGGCAATATAATAGTATGTCTCCCCCCACAGGCACTGCCACGTAACGAGTACAGTGAAACACTACTTGTGTCCGCCCTCTTGTTTTACCATGGAACGGACAAATTATGGAACAGGCCAACTAACCAATCGCCCAACCAATAAAGGCCTCCCACGTGGAGTCGGAGTAGATCGGGGTCGGAGGATCGCGCCGCACCGCCCATGCATCGCCGATGCATCGCCGATGCATTGGCGACGTCGGCGGCGCACTGGCACCGTCGGCGCGGAGAAAATCGGGCTCCGCATCGAGCCGCATCGGCGATGCGTCGGCGATGCGGCGCGATCCTTCGACCCCATCTGCTCCGACCCCATCTGGGAGGCTCAGCTCCCTCCCCCCTCCTCCTCTCCTCCTCCTCCTCCTCCTCCTCCTCCGCCTCCGCCTCCTCCTCCTCCTCCTCTTCCTCCTCCTCCTCCTCCCCCTCCTCCTCCAACCAGCCGCCCAACCGACCCACCAGTCTACCGGGAAAAAAACGGCCCACCACTCAAACCATGGCTTGCCCTGCCGTGCTCGCGAATCGCGCCGCCATGGCCACGCGGCCAGTCGACCAGTCCACCGAGTGGCCAACCAACCGACTGACCATCCAACCAACCAACCTTTGTATGCGGCGCGCACAAGGGGGTATGGTTCTTAGAAAGAGGCTGCTTCTTAGAAAGCGCCAGCCTCACATCTATAGAGAAGGCCCGCGCCTTCTAAGAAGCAAGGGTGCTTCTAAGAAGCCTTCCCCCCTCCCCCTACCCCCCTCTGCGCGTAGCCGACATTCAACCGCAACCAACCGCCCAACCAACGCACCCACCGACCAACCCACCAAACAACCAACCGACCAACCGGCCAACGAACCAACCAACCGACCAGGCAACCGACCGACGAACCGACCACCCAACGAGCCAACCAACCAACCAACCAACCAAGCAACCAGCCACCGGGCCAACCTAGTGTTTCACTTCATTTCCACTTGAAAGCCATCACGAACGCTTGAAAATCTTCTATTGATCCCTCGGAAAGGAATCCCACCAGCCCTTTGGGCGTCTTCCACCCCTCCCCCTTCCCCTTCGGGGAAGGGTTTATCACTGTTCCCTAAACACCCCCTCCCCCAGGCGACTGGGGGCCAACCAGGGTCCATGACGACACCCCCCCACCATTCCTGGTAAAAAAACAATGCAAACCACACTCTGCCTCCAAATTCGGAACATGCGCAGCCAACCCGATGCGGCCCCCCACACCATCCCGGTCAAAAAACAATACATCGTACACTTGGCGGCGGCGGCGGCGGCTGCGGCGGCTGCGGCGGCGGCGGCAGGCGGCGGCGGCGGGCAGAGGCGGCGGCGGCGGCGGCGGCGGCGGCGGCGGCGGCGGAGGCGGCGGCGGCGGCGGATTGGCCCCCAGTAGCTGCCCATCCAAAGACGACTGCTGAATATGCTCCCCCCCCCGAGGCACCCAAGACCCCGAAGAACCCCACAGGATCGCCAAGAGACCCCCAAGACGTCCCAAGAGGCCACCAAGAATCGCCCAAGAGATATCCCAAGAGGCTCCGAGAGGCATCCAAGAGACCTCTGGCCCTTGTGCTTGCCCTCTTCCTCCTCCTCCTTTTCCTCCTTCCTGTTCCTGCTCCTTCTGGTCCTCCTCCTCCTCCTCCTCCGCCTCCTCCTCATCCTATTCATCCTCCTTCTTCCCACTCCCTCATCTATCCATCCATCCACCTCCTCCTTCTCCTCCTCACTTCTTTGCACGGTTCGGCCGTCCTCCTCTTTGCTGCCGCACTTCCCTCATGGGCTGGTGGGGATACGCGATGCGTCTAGAATTGAAATGAACCCCATGAACAAAGATTGAACCCTCAGACAAATATTATTGATCCTGCTCCCATTTCTGAACGATGGAAGCGAAACACCATTTTGAGACACCGAAGGCGCTCTGACTGCAAAACAAATAGGAAATGCCAA